AAAATAAATTTCTTACATGAGAAGTCTGAGGGTGTAAATGTGACTTTGGCTTTTTTCTTTTTACTCCTATTTCTTTTTCTCGTTTTCTTTATGGTGCAGTCTTGCCCGCTTTGTTTATGCTGCTGCAAAGCACGATCCTTAACGAACACTCTATAGCACAAATCACAAGAGAACCTGCACAAGTTTGGATGTGAAGTTTTCACGTGTCTTGTTAACTTGCGTTTGTATTGTCCACATTCAGGAACAACACACGGTTTTTCGGAAAGTCGGTGAGTATGAACGTGGTCAACAGCTTGTTCAACAGACGAAACAGTCAGGGAACAATGTTGACAGGAAAAACTCTCCATATCTATTAAAGAATGCAAACAAAAAGGTATAATTTAAAGTAAAGTTTTCTAATTAGGAAATTGGGATTTTCTAGTGGTGACGAAAAGCTAGCTACCCGATCGATACCTATGTGGGTAAAACTTTATATTTTATAATGTTTATATTTTATAATGTTTATCATTATATTTTATGTTTTTGCTTGTATAATTTGCAAAATATTCATATTTTAGTAAACGTTGTGAAATTTCCGTTAAAAATCCTGCCAGGCAACCTTGTCATATAAATAATAATCAAAGTAGACTCGATGCACGCTCCTTTAATTAATCAGCCCGAGCGCCACGCGCGAAGGTACAAATATTCACCAACGCATTCTTGGGCTGCCTGCCTGCCTAGGGTGATGGTAATAGTTAGCCTCCTACGCAGGGCATCTCATTACATAGACTTGCTCCAAGTCTCTCTTTCATTGTCATATCGATCCACTATGGTGTACATTACATGACGTAGCACGGAGAGGCGGAGCGAGAAAGAGACTTGTCAACTTCGGACTGAAAATCTCGGTTCAAAACTGAACCGAAAATGCAAGACTTGCTTTAATTGTTTTCCTTCAATTTCTTTCTGTATTTTACTACGTCATGTAATGTACACTATAGTGGATCGATACTATACGACGATATGAAAGAGAGACTTGGAGCAAGTCTTGGCATCTCATCATCGGTTCACTTAGTTTACATCGCCGCTACAATTTTTTTGCCTGCAAGAAAATTTTGCCCGATAATCTAAAGGCAATGCCTGCGGAGGAAGCTAGCAATTTGGACTGAAAAACATACACTCATGAGTTTTTAAAGACTTCAAATTGCAATCGTCCATCGGACTCGTATAATTTTGATCGTCTTTGAAAAACTCCCCTGTGCATGTTTTTCCCAAATTGCACTCGAAACCATACTATTACCCATACAAATTTAATAATTTTCTTTTTAAAATAGTTTTGGTTGCATATAAAATTTCACATGCAAGATTCAAATTCTGAACCTAATCAAATGTGGATGTGGGATTTGCAACGCTAATTTCCACTCAGGAAAATTATCCGCGGATTGGAACGGACAAGAAAATTTTTCTTTGTGTTAAAGTCATTCGTTTCAACCCAGAGCTAACAAGACAAAAAAAATTTTCTTGTCCGTTCCAATTATCCACGGATAATTTTCCTGAGTGGAAATTAGCCTTGACCAGAGGCTCTTCCTTCTCGCCTCTCGTTTCTTTCGCCTCACAAAGATTTCGTCTCGCAAAGCGAGCCTCTGGAACCAGGGTAAATTTGTTTATAAAAGCCGTTAAAACCCGCAACTCCTGATCATACACCCTGAAATTGGGTCGCTGTGTATGTTAGAGGTATGCAAATCCGATCGGATTTCGGAACAAAAATATACATATCGGATTGATAAAGTTGTTTCGTGGTCGGATCGGACTTCGATATTCGAAATAAAATGAATTAATTATCCACGCATTATATGGCAAGAATGAATTATCCATGCATTTATCAAAGCATTGTTGGTTTGATACTTCGTTAAGCTCTTTCAAAACAATTTTGAATCAGAGAAATTGTTGAATCAGAGAAATTGTTGAATCTGGCTCATCAAAATATATTAACCTCTAAGCAGTACAACTGTGCTATTATTCACTTGTTGCTAATGTGTTTTATCCTGTAAATACTTCTAAATCACGCCCCTCATGAAAATCAGCTTGTATGATGCTGTTGAGGCTAGCGTGAATAAATAAAGTTTGTATGTATGTATTTCACTTGGAGTCTTGGACGTCATTTTGTCAGCTTTTTGACATGTATTTCTTGCTTTTATATTTATTTGGTTAAAAATTGCAACTTGAATGAGAAATTTATTTTCATTAAAGGATTCTTCGGATCGGAATTCTTTATCAAAGCTCGGATCGGATGCGGATTAGACAATTTCGGATTGGATTTTAAACATTAGCCAATTGTCGGATTATAAACGTCCAATCCGATCCACACCTCTAGTGTATATATATACAATATTGAAAATTATAATATAGCATTTACAAATTCTGAACGCTGATTGGCTAAGAACCGTGTTGATAGAACTCAATGTCAACACGGAAAATTTCTTTCTTTACATTTCCTTGTGCTATATTATAAAAAATAAAACATTTTTCCGTATTGATATATACTCGTGGAAATTGGGAAAACTCGACATTGTATGAAAACATTCCGCCCTGTTTCCACACAATTTCTCGTTTTCCCAATTCCCACTCGTGTTGATATAACTGTATATCAACACGGAAAATGTTTTATATTTGTTAACTACAAAATTAATTGCATCTTCAGTCTTAGACTAATGCTGTTCAGAATGAAAAGAAATATTTAACTGGATTGTTCCATTGGGAGAGCTTTATATTTTGTTAGCACTTAGTCCAACTTATGCGACCCAAGGCAAATTTGATTGAAAAATATAGTCAGACAATGATACTAAATACCAATTTATTAATTAGTTACAGTTCGTAATATATACGGGCTTAATACCTGAAAATGTGCCCTTCTGATTAAGAAAAAAAAACGTCTTGGCGTCAACAAACTTTACAAATAGCAGATACAATATACTTTCGGTTTGAATAAAGTACCGGTATATATAAATATATATGAATGTAAAATTGACTGTGTCTGTGTGCGAATCAAGCTGTGCATGCAATCACACTATCTTTAATATTACAGTAAATGTATTTAGTTTAAACAGCAAAACAGACACAAACATACCTGGAAATGTGCCTTTAATTCTTTCAGTAATAGACAACGTTTTGTGAACTCAGTTTTTATCGTATATATTTTGCACTGCATGTATTCGTAAACAGACTATACAGGTATACTTTCGGTTTTAGTATATATGTTTATATATACATTACGAGAGGGTATTCCCCTTATTAATTTCTCTCGGGAATTTCCCCGTTTTCGTGGAATTTATAGGATATCTTCCCAGAAAATGTCATAATTTGTATTATATTACGCAATAAAATTGGCAAACAGTAGATTCCGGTCCATTCTCGTCCACAGAGCCATTGATCACTCGTTGGAAACACCCTAACCTTAAACCTAACCCCTAACCTAACCCCTAATACCTAACCCTAACCTATATTGGTGCGCGAAACATGGAACGATAACCGAAATTAGGACGCGCGCGGCCGAGAGGCCCTGGGAACGAGGATGGATTCGGCCATGTTGGGCGTATGTCTTAATTGTAGAAAGCGTGCCACTCTAACCTCTAACCAATCCTAATCTAATCTTGGTCTGAGCCTAATCTAATCCTAATTTAAACCCGACGACCTTTTTTAAAAAACTACTATTAAAATATTCTAATTTAAAAAACTACTAAATATTGTAAAAACAGCTAAAAATTCTAATTCTATTTTCTTCGCATGGGCGATTTTATATAATACCTTCAACTACTGTATAACTTCTTCTGTCAGTGGTGAAGCTAGCCATAACAACAGGTCGTGCTATGCAAGTTTTTACATTTTAATGATTTGCATTGCAGGTTTATTATCATAGCATATTAGCATGACAAGTTGCCATGGATAGCTTGCCACTGAATACTGTACAATACGATATGTATAAACAATAATACTTGACTGTACAATACCTTATGTATATTAAAACAATAACACTTGGAAGTCTTGAATGAATCATTGGACATGTACAATTTAATACATACTAAGTCCAAGTACTCGTTAACCTCGACAACAAAAAGATTACGGGCGCCGTTTCCATTGACCTACGAAAAGCATTCGACACGGTAGATCACACAATCTTGCAGGAAAAATTAAAATCGATTGGATTCTCTACCTCTGTTCTTGTATGGTTTACATCATATCTATCGAATCGCACTCAAGTAACAACCATCAACAATTCAATGTCTACGCCTAAACCAGTTACTGTTGGTGTTCCGCAGGGAAGTATTCTCGGACCTCTTCTCTTCCTGATTTACATTAATGACCTACCTGAATGCCTC